CATGCAGCGCTGCCGCGAAGGTCGAGGCCTCCGACCGCCACTTGGGAGAGGCGCTCGCGCGTGGTGGGCCGGCGCAGAGTCGGGGGACAAATTCAGTCAGCCCTTGCATCGTGGGAAGAGGTTCTCAGAGGTCCACTCGAGCGCTCCACCATCATGTGGCCCCCATCTCGGGTGAAGTTCAGGCCGCTTCTGCCCCCCTCGGAACCCGCGTTCAAACCTCGGGGCGACACGACGCGGAGATTCGGACGAGGTGCTCTGCCGCGCGCGCGGGGGGGAGGGGCTTGAGCGAGTTCTGGGAAGCTTATGTTTTTGCTCGCAAACGTCAACTCTTCCAGAGACAGGCGATTGGCGCCGCGGTCTCAGGCCCAGAGGCGCGCGCGCCCACCTCGGACCAGGTCTCGAAGCTAGGTCCGGCGGCTGCTCGCGAGCGCGCCGTGCCAGGGGATCGCCGTCCACAGGCAGTCGCGCCAAGGAGCTAGCAGCTGTCTTCGGGAAGGTGGCCTTCGAACAGGTGGGGCCGCAGTAGTTCTCGCGGGCCCCCGCGCGTGCCCCTGAGACGACCCCCGAGGTTGTTACTTCTCGAGAGTCTTCCAGGCCCCTGAGCTGAGCGCCCAGTGCTTGAATTTTAAGAAGAAGTGACTTCGCAAACTCCGGTTGGAGGCCCCGAAGGCGACTTCCACCGGGCAGCGCGAGGGCCGGGAGCTTTTCGATGGCGCCCACAGGTGTTCTCTGCTCAACGGCGAAGGTCTCGAGCGCGGAAAAGGGTATCGAGCGCGCGCCAGACGCGCAGTGGCGGGGGAGAGCGCGGCCAGCTTAGCACGTTCACGAAGTGCACAGTCACTAATCAGTGCCCATCACGTGCATCAACTGTCGCACGCAGATGCACGGCCATTCATCGCATCGCGACTGCGTATCCACTTGGTAGATGCATCGCGCGCAAGTCGGCGCTCAACTATCCAGTGGTCTTTCCTAAGCAGTTTGCGTGCCCAGACGTTGCCGACCTTCCTGCGCTCCAGCAGCGCCCGGCGGCAGCGCGCCCATTGGGGCCGCAAATTCATGTCGCGAGCGCGGCCGCCGGCCCCCCCCGCGACCAGCCGGGGCGACGACGAGCCCGCGCGCGGGCACGGCCGCGCAGAGGACAGAGGAATGACGGCGGCGTCGCGGGCTAACAAACCGTCAAGCGACGGGGCGAAGAAAAAGGACCCCAGACATTTGGCGCGAGTTCGGTCGACGGCAACCGGGTGGAGGTGCAAGCCATGCAGAAGTATTTTCCCGTAGTGGCGCGGCCCTGTCTCAGCGTTGCGTCACGGCGGTGCCGCTGGAGGCGATCGAGATGAAGACGTTCCCGATGTCCTCCGGCACGCAGGCGGCGCGAAGGCGCGAGCTCACACCGAGGCGCGGGCTCGGGCGGCAGAAAGCGCAGAGCGCGCAGCTACCGACGGCCGAGGCGGAGAAGTAGATCACCGAGATGGGCGCGACATCGGCGGCCCGCTACGCGGTTTTCGAGGGGCTGGTCAAGGAAGGCGCGGCGGTCGGGGGGGCGAACCAACGGCGGCTCGAGGAGCTAGGCAAGCGGCAGTCGCAACTCGCCGCGGCCGAGATGGAAGAGGTGGTGCCGTTCGCGAAGATCACAGATTGCCGCGAGGAGAGAAAGACGAAGCTCGCGTTGTCCTTCTCAGCGCGCATCACCATGGCAGCGGTGCGGGCCTCGCTCGCCAGGGTGGGGTCCGACTACAAGCTGGGCGTGGCGCCGATGGGATTCATCTTGAAGAGATTGATTCATGCGGCCCTGCAGGACCAGCGCGATGCAAGAATAAAGACAACGCCACACGAAACACGACGACGACACGAGCAGTTCGTGAGAAGTTCGAGCCACGCTGCGAGCACACCAATCCTTGGAATCCCAACGTGTCCCCTATCGAGCCTCCTCACTCCATCTCCTCCCCGCCTAGCAACTGATGTCTGCCGCTTGCCAGCCTGCCCCTGAAATACCCTCTCGTCCCTCCTTCGAGCCTCCGTCCTCCGAGCCTCGGCTCTCCTCTTCCTCGCCCCCAAGTAGCGCTAGCCAGCCCGCGCATGCGTTGCCAGTTTCGTCATTTTCTCGCCACAAGTTCTTTCACGTATTTGAGCTGCCGCTCCGCCAGGTGGAGGGTAGAGTGCCCCGCGTCCGCCGTCCCGCCACTGAGGGGCAAGCGGCGCGCAAGCGCGCGAAGAGCTCTGCTGGTTCGAGGGGCCCTGTATCGCCCCGTGGTCCCGCGGAACCCATTATGCACTGGGGGCACATGCCAAAAAACACGCTGTTTGCCTCCAGGGTGCCCCGGGCTTCTTGGGTGTCGATGGTTTTGTTGTGGAGAACGCGACGTTCTCACATCAAGAACCAATGGACGCCCTTGGATATCAGGTTTTTTTGTTTTTGTGTTTTTTTTTCTTTCTGAAGGTTTCTTCTGGATTGGCTTCCGCTGTAGACCAGTAGTGGTCAGGAGAGACCGTGAGGCTGTTCAGGGGTGTTCTGCACGGTGGAGTGGGCCCGATGGGGGCGCCGCGTTGCGTCTTCCAGGCGCACCGCGCAAGCAGCAGTGCCACTTCTTAGTGCGAGTCGCGACGGTGCCAGGCCACGCGTCGCAAACTGGCGCCCAGGTGTAGCCAGATCCTGGGAGCTTCTGATGAGTGGGAACTTTTGCTGGCCCCCAATGGGTTCTGATCCTATCATCATCATCACCATCATCACCATCACCATCATCACCATCATCATCACCATCACCATCACCACCATCATCGTCACCATTATCGACATCATCATGCTTAGCTTCTTCTTCATCACCATCATCATCTTCATCATCAGCATTATCATCATCATCATCATCATCATCATCATCATCATCATCCCTCTGCTGTGCACAACACGTGGCCGGACAGAGGCTCATTCGTGTGAGTGCGAAGCCGCCCCGGAGCACCGCTCCAGGAGCAGCACCCGGAGCACCCGGAGCACACGGAGCACGCGGAGCACCCAATGCACCCAATGCACCCAATGCAACCAATGCAACCAATGCAACCGGAACGCCCAGGGCACCCGGAGCACCCGGCACTCCGAACACCCCGGCCTGGAGCTCCCGGAGCATCCAGGAGACCCGGGTCCAGAACACTGGGAGCACTCAGAACACCTTTCCGAAAGTTATGGTGTTCCAACTTACTGTAGCCTTCTCGACCACCAGAAAGGATTTCGAGCACCAAAAAAGTGCTGAAACTGTAGAGTTTTCACGTGTCGGGCCCTGGGCGCGACACTCGCCCGACACTGTTTCGACACCGTTTCGACATTGTTTCGACACTGTTTCGACACTTCCCAGGTGCTCGAAAGCACTTCCGGGATGTGGCCCTGAAGTACGATAGGAGCAGAGGTTCCGCAGTACGGTGGCCCCGAAACACCCAGACCCGAAGCACCCAGGACATCCGGGAGCACGCGCGACCGCAGGGAGGACTGGGTATGCGGACGCGCCACTGCGTTGCAGTCAACCCGCACAGTAAGGATGAACGATTTTCAAAGGTCACCCGTGCATCCTTCCCATTCGGCCCATCCCTGGCCGCTTTCGCTGGCCGCGCTCCGCCTCGCAGAGTGTCGACGTGACCTTCCAAGGCCCTCGCATCCTTATCTTCGGATGCAAACTCTGGGAGGTCACATTCTGACTTTGCCTGGTCCGAAATCCAGGGTAATTCGGCTCGTTCCCGCTGAATCCGACTGAATCCCGATGCATCCCGCTTACTCCCGCCGAATCCGCGGCCGAATCCAGCGTAGCAGCCCCCCAATGGGGCTTATATTCCTCCTTATAAGGGCTCTCTGACAAAGACATCTCAGCAGTTTGCCTCCTAACTGTTCGTGCGTTCTACAGTGGGGACCCATGCCAAGAAACACCCTGCTTGCCTCCAGGGTGCCGTGGGCTTCTTGGTTTTCGATGGTTTTGCGATGGCAAGCGCGACGTCCCCACGCCAAAAACCCATGGAAGTCCTGGAATATCAAGGCTGGGTTTCTTGTGGAAGGCTTCTTGTGGTCGGGCCGCTACTGTAATCCACCTGACGTAGACATCCCAGTAGTTACCTCTTAACTTATCCCATCGGGGGAAGCATGGTACATAATCAATTTTTCCGCCGTCGGGGACGCCTGTCCCTGTGCGGCTGGAGAGTTCAGCCGCCCTGGGACAGGCGCCCCCGACAGCGAAACAGTTTGTTTTACACCCGTGTTCGCCTGCTGATAATCGTGCGCGGTTAGTATACAAGCTGGCCGTTGTCCATCACTAGGTGGCCACATGTGAACCTTACCCCTACCCCCCACGATTTCTGAGGGGGAGGGTGGGGTTCGGGACCATTTTCGATTTTGGGGAAGTGTTTTTTTGAATATATCTTTTATTCTTTGTCCAGAATCCGCCCGTAGGAGGACATGCCCGACCTAAATCGAGCACAAGATACCCCTTAACCCTAATAACACGATGAAGACGTGGCCCCGCTGAGGTCCCCGTCTTCACATCAGTGACAATATTTCCGGGCGGCTTGGTCTGAGACATTTGCAGACAAACAATTTTTATTATCCCTACTCCAAATTTTTAGTAAGCGTCGGGGGGGCGTCACCCCCGTCGACAGCCCCACATCGACCCCCGTCGCGGGCAGCCACCGCGCGCCGAAGGCGCTCCGAGCCCCGTCGCGGCGCGACGACGCGACGAAACTGCCCCTCGTCGGGGGGGTTCGGGGGCCCCCCCCCACTCTTCTTAAGAAGCCCAGAGCAGTGCCCCCTTGGCATCGCTGGGACGTGAGCACTTTTCTCCCGGCGAGGACCACCGAGGAGCATCCTTGATCATTTGGCGACAAAACCACGCACGAAACCGGAAAAAACACAGGGAGTGGACGTCCGAGCGATGGCGAGTCCCCGGCCCCTCCCGACCCCGGGCCGCCTCCCGAGGCGTTCCCCATTAGGCGCCTTCTCCTCGTGCCCGGCAGCTCCTCCGCGGGCGCAGGCCCAGCAGCTCGCCCACTCCGGCGTGCTCGAGAACCACGAGCGGCTGGACTGCGACGAGGACCGCGGCCGCGGGCAGCTCTCCTGGTTGGTTTTTCGACTGGGGGCTCAAATAATACACACCACCACCACGTCGACCCTCTCTCTCCTCCTCTACCCTCCTCTTCCTTTCCTCTATCCTGGGAGAGGGAGGGGGTGAGGGAGGTGGTGGTGGTGTATATTTTTGGGCCCCCCATCGATGCCAGCGCCAAGCTTTTTCTCGGCCCCCAGGACTGCGGGCTGTCCTCTCTGGGATCCTACCCTTGCCTTACGCTCTCTCTCGTCTCCCCCCCCCCGAGGGTCGGGGGCGGCAAAGAGGGGTGTGATGACTAGGGGGGGGGATCTCCTGGCGGGGGCCATGATATTTCCCCAGATTTCACGGCGCCTCTTCTTATCTCATGACGTCCCTGGCCCCCCAGCTGGGCCGCGCACATGCGGCCGGTCATGATTTGCACCCCCCCCTCTTGGACCCCCCCCTCTTTTACCAGCCTGGAACATATCCCTATCCCTATGCTGGGCACCTCCTCATCACGATGCCAATCTTAGGGATTCCCTTATTTTTAGAGGGCGGATCCCTAAGATTGTCATCGCCTTTTGGCGTGTCAATCTTAGGATAGGGATACGTCCGAGGCTGGTAACTCTTGGACGCCCCCCTCTTGGCCGCTCCCGAGAGGGGGTTGGCCTCGCTTGGCTCTGCGCGGAGGAGCAGGCGGCGCTGGGGCGCGTCTCTCCGCCAGAAGAGCTTTGGCGCGCAGGAGAGGGGGGAAGCCTTGAGATACGCCCCTCCTCCTCCTCCTCCTCCTCCTCCTCCTCCTCCTCCCCCTCCCCCTCCCCCTCCCCCTCCCCCCTCTCCTCCTCCTCCTCCTCCTCCTCCTCCTCCTCCTCCTCCTCCCCCTCCTCTCCTCCTCCTCCTCCTCCTCCTCCTCCTCCTCCTCCTCCTCCTTCCTCTGCTCCTCCTCCTCCTCCTCCTCCTCCTCCTCCTCCTCCTCCTCCCCCTTCCTCTCCTCCTCCTCCTCCTCCTCCTCCTCCTCCTCCTCCTGTCGGACGCGCCTCTGCCGAGGATGGGCGCGCCACGTCTCGGGTCCACTCGGAGGTCTCCCAAAGCCTGGGGTAGGGGTCGACGTATCCGCTGTTGGCCGCAGGGTGGGGCCGACGGGCTTGGCGTCGCTCGGACGTGTGCGCCTCTCTCCGCGAGGGCCCTCGAGGAGCACCCTGGATCACCTTGCGAAAAAAAACAAAAACGCACAGGACTCGAGCAGAGGATCGGCTACAGACGTGATTTACCCCTGAGTCGGTTTTCTCGTCGGACGTACGAGCAATGCGTGTATATATATATATATATATATATATTGTTCGTAGACCTGCGGGTCCTTCTGCTCATCCTCCGTCGATTTCAACGGGCGAAGCAAGGTTGGGGTCACTCGATGCTGTAGTCGATCCCCTGCTCGAAGGACAGAAGCATGCACGGGGAGCGGCCGTCCGAGCGATGGCGCGCGGGAAGGCAGGGCGCGGCCCGAGGTCCGACGAGCTCTGCTCTCGGCGGGCCGGCGGAGGCAGCCGCGGCCCGCCCGCCTCGGCGCCTGTCGTGCCGGCGGGAGAGGCCTCCCACGCGGAGGCCTCTCCTCGCCGTCTGGCTGGATGCGCCTCGAGGCGCATCCAGCTCCTCCTCCTCCTCCTCCTCCTGCTTCTCCTCCTCCTCCTCCTCCTCGTCCTGCTCCTCCTCGTCCTCCTCCTGCTTCTCCTCCTGCTCCTGTTTCTCCTCCTCCTGCTTCGGGATGGACCCCCCTCCTCCTGCTCCTCCTCCTCCTCGTCCTCCGTCTCGCCGCCGTGGCTGGAGTTGGGTCGGGCGTGGCCTTCCACAGGAGGAGTATTCAAAAGTAGTCAAACATAGTCTGGGGACGATGTTTGATTTGTTGTTGGCCATTTTTGCATACTTCTGTTTGGCTAGTTTTCATTCTTCGTCCAAAATCCGCTTAGGGGACTTGCCCGACCTAAGGCTGGACGCGCCTCGAAACGCGAGTCAGGATAGACCCGGCCGGAAGTTTCCTGAGACCGATTCTGAGTGCCTTCTCGGAGGTCGCGAAATGGGGGGGGGGCGATCAATGTGGAGGGTTGCTCAAGATACAAATGCACCTGGCCCAAGGTCCCCCCCCCAGCTTTTCGCTCCAGTTTTGGGCCCCTGGGGCCCTCTGGGCCTCGTGAGGGGTGCTCTGGAGGCCGCGGGGCCCTGCCCAGCGTCCCGACAAAACCAGCGCTCCCGCCCGAGACTTCCTTACGTTCTACGCTGGACTGGCGCCCTACTCCCTTTTGAATTGGCGCCGCTCCCAGCAAGAACAACGGTTCTGTTCCTCGCCGCCGACAGCCCCCCTCCCGACAAAACCACGGCTCCCGCTCGATGCGTCCTCCTTTCTTACTCAAGGCGGTGTTCCTCCTCGCCGCCGAAAGCCGCCGTCCCAACGAAACCAGCGTTCTCGCTTGAGACTTCATTTTGTTTTACGCTGGACTAGCGCCCTACTCTCTTCAGCATTGGCGCCGCTCCCAGCAACAACAGTAGTTCCGCTCGAGACTTCCTCCCTTTCTATTCAGGGCCAGGTCCTTGCCTCGCCGCCGACAGCCCCCATCCCCAGCCGTTGGATACTTCCTTGTGCTTTACCCTTGGCTGGGGCTCCACTGGCGGTCTCGCATCGGCGCAGCAAGGCGCGGGCATGTGTTTTCGAGGCGGGATATGTTGAAATTCCTCGGAGGAGGTTTTTGCAAGACCTCATTGGGCGGGAGATCTGGGAAGGGGAATACCGGACCCCGCTATAGACTAAGAGTCCCCCATGATATGGATGGTTATCATGATGGTCGCATGCCTCGTTTGGAAACATCGCGCATGAGGGTCAACTGATTGTTGTTGGTGTTGTTGTTGCTGTTATTGTTGCTGTTGTTGTTGAATGTTAATTACTAAGCAATCTTTATTGTTGGACCCCTACAGGCGCCCTGGCGCTCTCGCCGAGGCGCTGGCTGCATTTTCATTGAAAATGAGGCTCACTCTCAAGCGGTTTGGGGGACCGCCAGAACTGCCCCCCCAACAAGAACAACGCTCCCGTTCAAGACTTCCTCCTTTTTGCTCAGGGCCGGTGCTCTTGCTCGCCGCCGAAAGCAGCCGTCTCAACAAAACCAGCGTTCCCGCTCGAGACTTCCTCCCGTTTTATTTTGGACATGCGCGCTGCTCTTTCCCTCATCGGCGCCGCCCCCCAACAACAACATCGCTCCCGCTCGAGACTTCCTCCCTTTTTTGCTCAAGGCGGTGCTCTTGCTCGCCGCCGACAAAAGCAGCGCTCCTGCCCGAGAATTCCTCCCGTTTTACGCTGGACTGGCGCTCTTTTGTCCTCCTCCTCCTCCTCCTCCTCGTTCTTGTCCCTTTCCTCCTCCTCCTCCTCCTCCTCCTCCTCCTCCTCTTCCTTCCTCCACCCCCTCCTCTTCTCCCCCCTCCCTCCTTCCTCCTCCGTCCCTATTTCCTCCACCCTGCTCCCTCCCCCTTTCTCCTCCCTCTCCTCCTCTTCCCCCTCGTCCTCCCTCCTCCTCCTCCTCCTCCTTTTCCTCCTCCTCCTCTTCCTCCCCTCTTCCTCCCTCCCTCCTTTCCATAACTTTCTTTTTTCGGAGAGCATCGGTAATAATGGGGCAGGAGAAGAAGAAGAAGAAGAAGGAGGTCTGGTAACTTCCAGGGACTCCAAGGATCGAGGGTCGAAGACATGACTCCAGGGATTCCCTGAGAGGGTGTGGAGGGGCAGGTGGAGGATGCGAGCGTGGGGGCGGCAGTGCCTGGGGGCGTCAACGTTCAGGGCCACGCGCCGAGGCCGCAGGATGGTGGCGTAATAGTTCGAACGAGAAGTAAGAACCACCTCATCCTCGGAGGTACTTCTACTACAATTACTCCTTCCTCCCCATCCTCCTCCTACTCCATCCTCCTCTTCTTCTCCCTCGTCCTCTCCCTCATTTTCCCTCCCCTCTTCGCCCTCTCCCTCCTCCTCCGAGATGCGGGGCGCGCGCGAGGCGATTGCGATTGCGATGTGCTGCCCGAGTTGTGGATGGCGAAGTTCCTCGGATGAGGTGGTGGCGATACGTTCTTTGGCGGGATATCTGGGTGAGGGAATGCCGCGCCCCGCATGCCAGACCAATCCCCACGACGGGGCGCGATGCCCGGAAGGATGCGCGTGACTTGTGGAAGCATGGCGCGTGATTATCGGAGGGTGGTTGTTATTGTCGTTGATGCTGTCGTCGTTGTCGCTGCTGTTATTAATGGTGTTGTTTTTGTCGTTACCAGCCGCCGTCGTCGCAGCCCCCTTCGCCATCGTCGTCGGCGGAGGGGGATGGAAAAGGAGGAGGACGAGGAGGAGGAGGAAGAGGGGGAGGCGTGGGGGGGAGGAGGAGGAGGAGGAGGAGGAGGAGGAGGAGGAGGAGGAGGAGGAGGACGAGGGGGAAGAGGAGGAGGAGGAAGAGTAGAATGGGAATCTCCCCCGTCCTCGTCCTCTCCATCCATTTCCCCATCCCCCTCCTCGCTCTGCCACTGCCGGTGCCCCTCCCCTCCAGTCCGCCCTCCCCGGGGAGCGGGCGCGGAGGACACGGGCCTGCTCGCGGACAGCGACATCGAGGAGGATTTCGAGATCGAGCTGCAGGAGCATTCGGGGGGTTGCGATGCAAGGAAGAGAATGAGGAGGAGGAGGAGGAGGAGGAGGAGGAGGAGGAGGAGGAGGAGGAGGAGGAGGAGAATCGGGGGCGGGGGGGGTGATGACTAGGGGGGGGGATCTCATGGCGGGGGCCACGATACCCCCCCAGATGTCATGGCGCCCCGCTGGGCCGCGCACGTGCCGCCGGTCTTGATTTGCACCCCCCCTTTTGGACACACCCCTCTTGGCCGCTCCCGAGAGGAGGTGGACGAGAAGGAGGAGGAGGATGAGAAGGAAGCGGAGAGGGGCAGCGGCAGGAGGAAGGGGAGGAGGAGGGGCAGCAAGAGCAGGAGCAGGAGTCCAATCCTTCGCAAAAGCCTCTCGGCATCACCCAAACGTGTTGAGGGGCCACGCGCGCGCAGAAGGCTTATCCCAGGTGCTCTTTGGCGGGTGCTTTCTGGCCACACCAGTTGGGCAGCAGTGTGCTACAATAGGTTTGTATTGTATGCTTGTATCGGACGTGCGCCTCGAAGGGAGTTCGTTGTACTGGTATGTCCTTCTGCGCCCCTACTTGCGCCGGTTGGTCGGAGGGCGTTGACTCCTCCTCCTCCTCCTTCTCCACTCCCTCCTCCCCCTCCTCCTTCTCATCGTCCTCCTCCTCCTCCTCGTCGTCCTCCTCCTCCGCCTTCTCGTTTTTTTCCTCCTGCTCCTCCTCCTCCTCCTGCACCTATACGGATCCTGGCCATGTTGATTCTGGCCCCAGGTTCAGCGTGTGCATTCTTAGGCAAGCCTGGAGGCTTTATGCGCCGATCCTGCAGCGTGGGCCCAGGATGGGCTTGGATCGGTGTTGGCGTGCAGTTGGCACCCTCCTGGTCGGGACCTCATTCTCAGTAGCAGTTGTTGCTCACGTCCCACTTCCGTCTCGCAGCGTCAGTTTTACAACCGCTTTGCTGTTGTCTGACCTTCGATTTTGGCAGAGTCATGTGTGCTTACACGCGAATCTGCCACCGACCTCGGGTGGGCGCCTGGGGGAGGGGGGACCAGGGGGCGTATGGGAAATCTCACCTCCAAGTTTGACTTCGATTTCACTGGCGCAATGCCCAAGTATGGTGTTAGTTATTCGGGTGATGCCTCCGCCTCCTTCCTTCCACAAGGGAACGGTGCGGAATGGGAAGGAAGGTCCTTCCCTGCCGCATCCTTCTTTCAAACGCGCATCGCTCAACTGCAGACCCTGTCATACTCAGATTCACTCATGCTCATGCCCACTCATACACAGGCTTACTCATCTCACTCATACATACACCCTTCATGCGCCGATTCACTTCTGTCCATTATCACTGAAACCAGCGTCATTTCAGGGGCATGTTCACCCATCCACTCGCTCACTCTCAGGCCCTGGATGCCCTCACGCGCAGGCGTATCCACGTGCACTTAGACGCTTCTCACGCATCCTACTCAGACTCAGACTCCCTCGAACTCAGACCGACTGCCATTCGGTCTAACTCATTTAGCCTAAATCATATTTACATGCACTCACACATAGACTCGTCATGTTCAGACTCGCCCACACTCAGACACACTCATACTCAAAGTCACTCACTCGCCGACTCGAGCCCCAGGCACACTGGCAGTCACATTTACTCACGGCGGGCATCGCGGCTTTGCGCCAGAGCCTCCCAAGGGGGACCGACCGGGAGATTATCCCGGGCCCGCTCGCGCAACGATTGCTGGGATCTATTTGGTTAAAGTGCAGCGTGGGAGGTGCACGCGTCTCTTTCCAGAGTTCCAGATCGTCGCGGTATAGCGCGCCGGGATCGTGTTGGGGGCCTCCCGTGGGGGAGCCGACCAGTGGGCTGTCACGGGCCCATCGGTGCCCAGATCGCCACGGGGTCATGTGCGCAGAGTGATTTTTGTTGTTGGCGAGCAAGCAACAAACAAGGACAACCCGCACCGCAGAACCTCACTTCAGCCGCGCGCCAAGGGAACGTGGATGACCATTCGGCCCCCTCACTCTATTTTAGGTGCTGTCCTACTATTTCGGGTGCTTTTCGACTATTTTAGGCGCCCTCCTACTATCTGGATCCCCAGAGCTCAATCTATTTTAGGTACCTCCCTACTTCAAGAGTCGGGCTGTGCTCCCTCTCTTGCCCCCTCGTCCAGGGGGCAGGCGGAGCTCCAAGCTGCATCCGGCCGACGGGTAGATCTTGTCCACGCGTCCGCCCCGTCAGATCTGAGACGACACTTGCGCGGTGATGTTCCGACGTGCTCATCGGTCGTCGAAAGTAGGTGTTCTTGGATCCCCAGAGCCTAATCTTCTTTAAGCGCCTTCCTGCTTCAATGATCGAGTGGCTTCGCCGGTTCCGTCCTTCCACGGGAGCGGGCGTAACCCAACCTAATTTCAACGCCTTCTTACTTCATGTGTCTACCTACTTCTTCCGACCGATGGGCACGTGCGATGTGCATCCGACGTAAAGCCGACGCGCATCCGACGTCCCTTCGACGTGGATCCGACGTAATCCGACCTCACCCATGAGCGATGGCACCCACGACCCGAGACCCCCCGCGCGCGGGGCCTTGGCCTGTGCAGCAACATCGCCCAGCGCCGTCACAGGAAGGACTGAGGACCGAAGCCGCCGGAAAGCACCTCCTGCCGACCAACCAACTGAGGCGATCGCAAGCATGGATCAAGGGGGCGTGCATTAGCGACGTGTCCCGTTCCCATGGGAAATCGCGGATTTCCGCCGACGAACGAGGCTGCATTGGCCGCAATTTGGGGAGGGCACCTCTCCCGATCCATGGATTTGGCGTCCGCGCGCCAAATCCATGGATCGCTAATCCATGTTTGCGTTCCCCCGAGAAGTCCTCTAGCCTTTGAGAAGTGTTCTGAGCATTCCCCGAAGACACTGAAGACTTCTCAGAGAACCGGAGGGCTTCTGAGAAGACCCGCCGCCTTCTGCGAATGCCTTTTCCTTCTCACTTTCCCCCCTCGCCCGCCGCCGATCAACGGTCCCGGCCTGTAGCGGACCTGGCTCCCGCATGAGCAGGAGCCCGTCAGCAAAGAGGGCCGAGCTCGAGGAGAGACTCCCAGATTGTAAGACAACCATCGTCGAAGATCTGGGGAGGGACGAGGAATGACGAGGAGGAGCAGGGAGGAGGAAGAGGAGGATGAGCAGCCAGGACGAGGAGGTAAAGACGGGGCTAGGACGAGGCCGAATTCGTTCCAGAGCCTTCCAGAACGCTGTCAGAGCGTTACGAAGCGCTCCGAAAAGGGCGCGGCGCACGATACATCCTCCAGAGCCGCCAGACCTCAGAGGTGCTCGATTTATTATGACCCGATGTTGTCCTCGTCGTGGCTTCGTCTTAGGAGGAGGAGTCGGAAATGGAGGAGGATGATGAGGAGGAGGAGGAGAAGCGAGGAGCGAGGAGCGAGGAGGAGGAGCGAGGAGCGAGGAGCGAGGAGCGAGGAGGAGGAGGAGTGAGGAACATCTTGCCCCTCGGATTGGACATGCCCCCTGCTCTGCCCTTGTGCCCCTCTTTTGCCCTTTGTGTCCCCTCCTTTGCCCTCACATGTCCCCGTCGTGTCACCGCAACTGATTCGGCTCGAACCATTCGAGCCGGCCTGAGACGATTTGCGCTACGGAGGCGTGGGCGCGAGTCGGAGAAAGATTGCCGGCCCCTCGGGCGTGGCCGCCCCGCGCCGCCAGGCTTCTGAGAATCCCTCGGCTCCGCAAGGAGGGGCGAGCGCGAGGAGGAGGAGGAGGAGGAGTCAGAGGCGGAGTAGCGAGGAGGAGTAGCGAGGAGGAGGAGGAGGAGGAGGAGGAGGAGCGAGGAGGAGGAGGAGGAGGAAGACGAGGAGGAGGAGGAAGAGGAGCGAGGTGGAGGAGGATCAGGAGGAGGAGGAGGAGGAGGAGGAGGAGGAGGAAGGAGGGAGGAGGAGGAGGAGCGAGGTGGGGGAAGAGCGAGTCGGACGAGGAGGAGGAGCAAAGGAGGAGGAGGAGGAGGAGAAGCAAGGAGGAGGAGGAGGAGGAGGAAGAGGAGGAGGAGGAGGAGGAGGAGGAGGAGGAGGGGGGACGAGGAGCGAGGAGGAGGAATAATGATAATAATAATGATAATAATAATGGTAATGATAATAAGAATAATAACAACAATAATAATAAAAGAAGAATAATGCTAAGAAGAAGCATAATACTAATCATACGAATAATACGAATAATAATCATACTACTACGAAGAATAAGCATACCAAGCAGAATACGAATAAGCAGAAGACGAATAATAAGAATACTACGAAACATAATAATATCAATATTAATAATCAGAATCAGAATACTCATAATACTAAGAAGCCACGTACTAATAATAACTATCAAGAATACTAAGATGAATAAGACGAATGATAATAATAGGAATAAGACTAATAATAAGAAGACGAATAAGAGTAATGAACATAAGGATAATAATAACAAATACGAATAAGACGAATAAAACGAATAATAATATGAGTTATAGCAATATTAAAAACACGAAGAATAACCATAATAAGACACATAAGAATAATACTAATACTAAGAAGAATAATAATAAGAGGAGGAGGAGGACGGGGGACGAGGAGCGAGGAGGAGGAGGAGGAGGAGAAGCAAGGAGGAGGAGGGGGAGGAGGAGGAGGAGGTGGGCGGCCCCCCCCATTCGCTCCCGCAGGAGAAGGAGCCCGTCTTCCTGCGCGGCCAGACCACGAAGGCGGGCCTGCAGTTGTCGCCCATCCAGGCGCGCGGGGGGAGGGCCCAGGGGATCGACCGGGCGGGGCTACGCAGGATTCAGTCGGGCACGTCCTCCCGCAGGAGGGGGATCTCGAAGAAGAAAGAAGGCCATAAACATAAACTTTTGGAGCTCCGCGCGGATTTCTTGGAGCCGCGCTGGGGCATCCTCGTCGGCGCCTCTGGCGCCGCCCCTGGCGCGTTCCGCGCGCCATTGAGGGAGCCCCGCGCGTGGCGCCAAAAGTTATAATGATTAAACCAGTTGTTCTGTTTCTAATATTCAAGAATAATTGAAAATACTATGTGGACGTTTTGTTCTACTATTTTTGGCTATGTTTGATTTTCTTTTAAAACTATTTCTCATTTTTCTGTCAACATCCCCCTGTAGGTGGGCATGCCCGACCTGAGGTTAGGACGAGAATAGATCCGTTTCAGAGCGTTCCTGAACGCTTTCACAACATTCCAAAACGCTCTGAGAAGATCGCGGTGCCCAAAACATCCTCCAGAGCCGCCGGACCTCAGAGATTCTCCATTTGTCCTCACCCGAAGTGAACCTCGTCGTGGCTTCGTCTGAATCGAGTTTCGGGTTCAGAGGTTAGAGGTTCGAGGTTCGAGTCCAGAGGAGAGGAGGAGGGAGCAGAAGGTGGACATAACACGCTGACGGGCTACCAACGGCAGCGTGTCATTGGTATATTTCGGGGATTTGATATAACAGAGGCATAAGGGTTCGAAGGTCCGCGCGGACCTCGAGGAGTTTATGTTTACGGTCGGACCAAAGCATAAAGTCTGGTGGTTTTGCAATGGGGCATTCGCCTTAGCGCCGCGCATGTCCGTCTCACATGGCTGCTGTAGTCACAAGGTCGGAGGGCGATCCATGTCCAAATTGGGATCTCGTTTGACTTCCGCACCCGTCTAAACATATTGCACCAGGACGAGACATGGCGTTCCATCTCAAGCTGGGGTTATCGTTTGGGGCTTCTTCTGCACATCTACTTTGAGCCAAGACGCTTGAACTGATGTTTCCCAGGAGGGGAAAATCCACACAAACACAATTATGTGTCCACTCCCAGGGAAATATGGGAAAATATTGGAAGCGGGGGGAGACAAAAACCCAGAAAACATTGGAAACGATGGGGAATCTTGTTATTTGTGTGTATTTACTTGCGTGTCCTGGGGCCCCTTCCGTATCCGTTGCACTGGCGGAGGCGCGCTCTTTTCCACATGGGCTCCTCGCTAAAAAAGCGACCCTCGCAGCGCATTTCCATAGCAGGAGCGTCGTGCAATACTCAAAACATACAGGTCGGGGGCTGTCTTCGTGCACAGCTGGCAGTTTTTCTGAGTGCGGCAGGTTCACGCGGCGTTGGCCTCCTCCTCCTCCTCCTCCTCCTCCTCTTTATGCCCCCCACCCCCTCCTCCTCCTCCTCCTCCTCCTCCTCCTCCTCCTCCTCCTCCTCCTCCTCCTCCGTGACGCTGGCGAAAGCGTTCAAGGCTGGAGTCCGCGACGCGGCAGCACCGATGCACACGGCAACGCCACTATCGGACCGGACGAAAGGGGGGGATTGGGAAAGGGGGGGTTACGAAATTCGCTGCATGCAGCTGGTTTCGGCCTCACCGAGGGGCCCATTTCTCGATACATAGCCGCCTCCGGCGCCGGGAGGCGCCGGGAAAATCAGATACGTGAGCTGATTGTCAAACCCCCCCTTTGCTATGCCCCCCTTTCGCCCGACCCGACACTAGACCCGACGGAATTCAACTTGGAACGATCGGGGTCGCGATCGATTCAATGTTGAACGACCGACGCGATGTCAAAGACCGTTGTGCGCGCCGACGCCACACGAACCTATCGTGCCTCATCGACTTGTACGGTCATGCCTTTCCGCATCCCCTTTCGCTCGCCGGAGCGATGCAATGTGCCGTTGCGGCTCAGCACGGGGCTCGTTGCCACGACAAGGCAGGCGCATGGGGCGTGTTGCCAGTAGATGGTCTCTCCAGGGGGCGATCTTTGTAGTGACAGAAAACCGGTTGTGAATATTTATTGGGTGTGTATGTATGTGTGTATGTATGTATGTACGTATGGATTTACGTACGTACGTGTGTATGCAATTAAACATGTCTGAATGTATATGCATGTATGCATGCATGATTGTATATGCATGTATGTATGCATGCATGCATGCATGCATGTATGTATATATATATGTATGCCTGCATGCATGTATGTGTGTGTATGTATGTGTGTGTATGTATGTATGTATGTATGTATGTATATATCTATGTATGTATGTATGTATGTATGTGTGTATGTATGTGTATGTATGTATGTATGTAGGTAGGTAGGTAGGTATGTATGCATGTATGTATGTATGTATGTATAGGTATGTATGCATGCATGTCCGAGTGTATGCATGTATGTGTGTATGCCTGTCTGTCTGTCTGTCTGCCTGCCTGTCTGTCTGTCTGTCTGTCTGTCTGCCTGTCTGTCTGTAGGTAGATCTGTATATATGTACGAGTGTATGTATGTATGTATGTGTATGTACGTATGTTTGTCCGTTTGTCTGTAGGTACGTATGTATGTACGTACGTAAGTACGTCTGTCTGTCTGCCTGTCTGTCTGTGTGTCTGCGTGTATGCATGCATGCATGCATGCATGCATGCATGTATGTATGTATGTATGTATGTATGTATGTATGTATGGTTGTATGGTTGTATGTATGTATGTATGTACGTACGTATGTAGGTAGGTAGGTAGGTAGGTAGGTAGGTAGGTATGTATGTATGTATGTATGCATGCATGTATGTATGTATGTATGTATGTATGTATGTGTGTATGCACATGTGTATGTACGTACGTAATTACGTACGTATGCCTGTCTGCCTGTATGCATGTACGTACGTATGTACGTATATACGTATGCATGTATATACGTTTGTATGTATGTATGAGTGGAGTGGGTTGGGAAGGGAGGGTGTCTCAGCATCGCTGATGCACATCCTGTCCGTGCTGGTCTCCCTTCTCCCCCTCCTCTCCGCGCACCGCTCATCCTCCGCTCCCCTGCCTTCCCCCGCCTCATCTTCCACGGTCCGTGTCCCCCTCCCCCTCCGGCGCTGGAGGGTTTCTCCGAAGGGCTTAGGCGACCCGTCCTCCTCCTCCTCCTCCTCGATCCTCCTCCTCTCCCCTCCTCCCCCCCCCTCCTCCCCCCTCCTCCTTCCTCCTCCCCCCCCTCCTCCTCCTTCTCCTCCTCCTCCTTTTCCTCCTTCTCCTCCTCCTCCTCCTCCATCTCCTCCTCCATCTCCTCCTCCTCCTCCTCCTCCCCCTCCCTTTCCTCTTCCTCCTCCTCCTCCCTCCTCCTCCTCCTCCTCCTCCTCCTCCTCTTCCTCCTCCTCCCCTCTTCGGGTCGCATATGTACGGCCCCGGGGGAAGCCGTCCATCCTGCGCGCGTTGCCTCGCCGCAAAGCTCTAGGCCTCCTAGATGGGGTCGGAGTAGTTTGGGTCGGAGGATCGCGCCGCGTCATCGAAGCATCGGTGATGCTGCTCGATGTGGGGCCCAACTTGCTCCACGCCGAGGTCGCGGATGTATCGCAGTCGTCTCCAGTGCATGGCCGATGTATGGCCGATGTTTCGGCGATGCATCGCTGATGTATCGGCGATGCGGCGAGATCTTCCGACCCCCCATCTACTCGGACCCCATCTAAGAGGCCTATAAACACGTTGATGCCCCCCCCCCGTTCATTCAGCACGGTTGGTGATTTGTCTCATGCAGTGCCACGCTGTGTCGGTTGCGCTTGTTGTCAGTTGCTAGCGGGTGTGCAGCCCCTCTCCTCAGCCACGTCGCCTACGAACCGTTCGCGCCGAGAGCTTGCGCGCCTCCCCCTGCCCTTCCCCACGCCCTCATCCCCCCTCGAGATCCGACGTTGCAACAACGTTGCAACATCGCAAGAATCAAGCCCGGAACCCCAGACCCCATCTTTCTGCGTCATTCCTCGAGGGGATCGATCTGTGAGGGTTCTGGGGCCGACAAGGAGCGAAACCGTCTATTTTATGAAAACTTGAAGCGCCAGGATCTCAGGGCCCAGGATCTTTATGATCTTCCTCCCCCCCTCCTCGTCGGGCAGGTGGCAGGGCTCATATCGACTCCTCCGATTCGATTCGATTCGATTTCGATGGTCTCCGATTCCGTTCCGACTCGACCTGGGATGCCGATGTGGGTTCCGATGTCTTATTGGAGGCATACTAGCCTGCCGATTTCCGCCGATTCAACTTCTCCCGACTCGGCTGCCGACTTCCGCCGATCCGCTTCATCTCGATCGCCGATCCGACTTGTCGATTCGATTCGTCGGAGGTTGATCGACCTCCTACCCTGACACGTCGATTAGCAAATTGGCCGTTCTCGGTTCCGCGAGAGGGTGTCGCGGCTTTCCTTTCTGCGGGTCCCGGTCCGTCGGTCTCGGTCCCACGCTGTGTTCACTAAAGGGTGGAGGTTTTCCCAAGGGAGGTTTGTCCACCGCCGAAAGAACATTGCTCTTGTTCCTCGAACATTCCTGAAGGGAGGTTTACTCAAGGGTGGTTTACTAAACATTTGCTCAAGGGACGTTTGTCCACCGCCGAAAGAGCATTTACTCAAGGGAGGTTCACCCAAGGGTGGTTTGCGAAAGGGAGGCCTGGCTCACCGCCGATCTCGATTCGATCCCGGGCCCTCCCGAGGTGGTGAAGGAGCCGGACGGCAGCCTCGCCCGGGCCGCGTCCACGCAGAGCGCCCTCGCGAAGGAGCGCCGGGAGGCGCGGGAGGCCACCCGCTGCCCCGGGGCGGGCTGCTGGCGCCCAGGCCTCCTCTGCGTGTGCCTCGGGCAGGGGCGAGGCGCCCTGTCGGTGGTGGACAGAACCCCCAACGGTGACACGTCGATTAGCGAATTGTCCGTTTTCGGTTCTCGAGAGGGCGCCGCGGCCGTTATTTTCCAGGCTTGCGCCCGCCAGGTTTGGGCCTCAGGTCGTTTTCATTAAGCCGCGTTTTACTAAAGGGAGGTCTGTCCATCCCCGATCCTGGCTTCCCAGACCCCCTTCGCGGTGGGAGGAACTCGCGACGGGAGGTGTTTCGCCACTTTCGGCCTCTGGGGGCCGTCGCTGTGCCCCGGGACCATCAAAAGAGCACCCAGGATGAGGAACCGGTCCTGGGGAAGGGGTGCAGACCTCTGGGGGTCGACGATGTGAACAAACAACACGACGTCGGGCGTCTGGGAGCAGTGACGAGGCGTCCTGGTTTGCCGATAGGCCTACCAGAGAACGCTCTATAAGAGCCCTTCGTGGTTTGCACGGCATGTTCTCAGAACGTGTTTGGCTGGGCTTCTCTTGTTTTGAAACGTGGGCGATGTTCTAAGAATCGGAGGTGGATCGACCTTCTACCCTGACACGTCGATTAAGGAATTGGCCGTTTTCGGTTCGCGAGAGGGCGTCGCGGCCCTCAATGTTGCGGGTCCAGGTCCGTTGGCTTCGGTCCCAGGCAGCTCTCTCATGAGGGGAGGCTTACCCAAGGGAGGTTTGTCCACCGCCGAAAGAACATTATTCTTGTTTTTCGAACAATCCTGCCTCGTGGCTTGTTCTCCGAACGCTGTTCTTCGGCTTCGAAGAACATTGTTCTTGTTCTTCGAACATTGTTCTTGCTCTTCGAGCATTGTTCTTGCTCTTCGAACGTTCGAGATGTTCTTCGACCTCTGAGGACATCTCGTGGTGTGCCTGCAGGGAATGCCGGGGCGGTCGGCCTCCGCTCGAGGTGCCGCTCTGGGCCGGCGGCCTCCCCCGCGGGCGGGGTGGCAGGGCCGCCCGGTGGCATCGCGAGGAGCCCGCCTTCCCAGAGATCCCGAGGCTCCAAAAATCGGTGGAGCAATGTTGATGCTGATGCTGATGATGCTGATGATGATGGCGATGATGATGATGATGATGATGATGATGATGATGATGATGATGATGATGATGATGATGATGATGATGATGATGATGATGATGATGATGATGATGATGATGATGATGATGATGATGATGATGATGATGATGATGATGATGATGATGATGATGATGATGATGATGATGATGATGATGATGATGATGATGATGATGATGATGATGATGATGATGATGATGATGATGATGATGATGATGATGATGATGATGATGATGATGATGATGATGATGATGATGATGATGATGATGATGATGAGATGATGATGATGATGATGATGATGATGATTATGATGATGATGATGATGATGATGATGATGATGATGATGATGATGATGATGATGAGGATGATGATGATGATGATGATGATGATGATGATGATGATGATGATGATGATACTGACGAATGATTATGAGATGATGATGATGATGATGATGCTGATGATGATGGCGATGATGATGATGATGGTGATGATGATGATGTGGTGGCGATGAGCTGATGATGCTGATGATGCTGATGATACTGACGATGATTATGATTATGATGATGATGATGATGATGATGATGATGATGAATGATGATGATGATGATGCTTATGCTGATGCTGATGATGATGCTGATGATGATGATGATGATGATGATGATATGATGATGATGATGATGATGATGATGATGATGATATGAAGATGATGATGATGATGATCTGATGATGATGGCGATGATGATCGGAGGAGTTGGAGGAGGAGGAGGAGGTGGAGGAGGAGGAGGAGGGGCCCACGCGTCGAAAAAAGTGGAGCAGCCGGATGTCTGGCCCCGGGCGGGGTTGCAGGGCCGCCCAACGGTGGCACGGCGGGGTCGCAGGGCCGCCCAACGGTGGCACCACGAGGTCCAAGCATGCCCAAGGACCGACCACAGCGCTGCTCAGCCTGGGTTCCGTGTTTTCGTTTTCGTTTCGTCTCGTGCCGTGTTCGTTGTTGGTCTGGGCGCCCGTTTCGTCGTCGCTCGTTTTCGTGTGGCACTGGCTTCGTTTCCGATTTCGTTTCAAACGTTGGGCCTCGTGTTCGTTGTTCGTTGTAAGCGCAACTGCGTTTTAAATATCGTTGTGGTCGGTCCTTGAGCAGCATTCCCAACTTTCCCCGTATCCTAAGTTTAGGTGTTCTCGTTATTGGAGGGGCCCATCCATATGCCTCCTCCCGCCGCCTCCCTTCCCTCGGTCAGGCTGGCGGTGTCTCCCATACTCAGGCTCACTCACACTCAGACTCCGATATGCTCAGACTTCGTCATGATCGGACTCACTCGTGCTCAGACCCATTCATGCGCATATCTACCCTTACTCAGATTCACTCCTGCACAGACTCAATCACACTCTCAGCCTGACTCATACTTAAGACTCGCTCATACTCGTCCTCCTCACTCATGCTCAGACCGTTCAAAAACCTGATAGACTCAGAAATCACTCACACTCAGACGCGCCAGTGCTCAGATTCTCGCATACTGCGATATACACATACTCTGAGCCACCCAATGGGGAGCGTCGGCCAGGGAGGTTTCACGGGCCCGTTCGCGACCGGACTGTGGGGGTGTCTCAAGCGAGAACGCCGAAACGCCGATTCGCGAAACGCCGATTCGCGGTTTTGGAGGCGTCTCAATTCAGAGGCCAGTGATTCCTCCTCCTCCTCCTCGTCCTCCTCCTCATCCTCCTCCTCCTCGTCCTCCTCCTCCTCCTCATCCTCCTCCTCCCCCTCCTCCTCCCTCTTCTCCTCCTCTTCCTCCTCCTCCTCCTGATCGCCGCGATGCAGCAGGGAGGGCACTTCGGCCACGCAGAGAGGGGGAGCCGCCGATGGCGCTTCACGGGCCCGCTCGCGGCAGGACTGTGCGGGCACAGCCTCCGCGAGAGACGTCCGTCCCGGGGCTATGGACGCGTCTCCTTTCAACGAGGCGGCAAGGAGGGGCCGACCTACCCAGCCGCCCGCCAGCGAGCCCAGGAGGGAGATGAGCGAGATGCGGGGGGGCAAGCCAGGTGCGCTTGCGTCATATCTTACATGCTACCCTCTCCCACCCATCCCGACGGGGTGGGGGGAGGAGGGGATGGGGGGAGGAGGAGGAGGAGGAGGAGGAGAAAGAGGAGGAGGAGGAGGAGGAGGAGGAGGAGGAGAAGCACGAGGAGAAGGAGGAGGAGGAGGAGGAGGAGAAGGCTGACCCATGCCCTCGCGCTGGTCCTGCCTGCCCTGGGCCTCCAGAAGCCTGCAGAGAGTCATGGGCCGCCGGAAAACCTGGGGGCGGCCGAGGGAGCTCGGGAGGGCCTCATCGGCCTGCTCTCCTCCTTCCGACCTGCGAGATTCATACACATCCACTGCCCCAGGCCTGGCCCATCCTCGTCCCAGTAGCGGTGTATACGCCCTCCTGCGCTGGCCAGGGAAGCGTATACACCGCTCCTGGGCCCAGGATGGGCCAGGCCTGGGGCAGTGGAGATTCGGGGGCGGCAAAGAGGGGGGTGATGACCAGGGGGGGGTGGATATCACGGCGGGGGCCATGATATTTCCCCAGATTTCACGGCGCCTCTTCTTGTTTCATTGCGTCCCTGCCCCCCCCGCTGGGCCGCGCACATGCCGCCGGTCATGATTTGCACCCCCCCTCTTGGACACCCCCCTCTTGGCCGCCGCTCTGGTGAGATGTAGAGACCTTGTCGCCCTACGACCTACGACCTGTCCGGTGTATCCCCCCGGCTCCCCCGCCGCGCTTCGCAGGCGATGCAGCAGAGCTTGCTCGACGCGATCCCGAAGGACAGGGGCTCCTCCTCTCCCCTCGGGTCGTATCCTTGCAGTCGCCGTGCAGTGCCAGCCGACTGGAGGAGGAGGAGGAGGAGGAGGAGGAGGAGGAGGAGGAGGATGAGGAGGAGGAGGAGGAGGAGGGAGGAGAAGGAGGAGGAGGAGGAGGAGGAGGAGGAGCTCCCCTCGGAGGCTTGCGGGGGGTGCCCCTGGCCTGGGGTGCCCTCCAGCGGATCCAGGCTCGAGGGTGCAAGGTCTCGGGACGCGTCCGTGGGCTCCTGCCCGGCCCTTCCAGCCTGGGGATGCCTTCCAGCGGCTCCAGGGGGGTGCCCAGGTCGTCCCGGAACGGCCGCCGGTGGCTCGAGGTCTGGCCCGGAAGCCGCCAGGCGTCGAAGCGGTCAGGGGCCACGTGCGAGGGGAAAGGGCTTTGGTCAATCAGTGGCGAAGCGTCCCATAGATCGGAAGCCGGAGTATATACACGGCCAGTGGAGGGCGGTTTTTCAATCCTCAGACTTTCGGAGGGTCGGGGACGACGTCGGGGTGGTCTGGTGTATGCGTGTTCCCCGGCTTCGCGGGGAAACTACGAAAAGTGTATACACTAGGGTCCCGTGGACACCAGGATCCGCTTTCCTGTGCGAGTTTCAGTGTGGAGCTGGAAAAAGCGTCGGTGTATAGGGTTCGTTTCCCTAGAAAAGTCTCAGGTCAAACAGTGGCGAAGCGTCCCAGCTCGCCTATGGGCTTGCGAAATAATGGTCAAAGAACCTCTTCTGGTCTGCACGACCTGTTCTTAGAGCACTGCTGGCCGAGGCTGTCTTGTGTTATGACACGCCGGGGTTATGTTCTATGAGCATTGTTTTGGCTCTCAGAGAAACAGTGGGGGTTCTAAGAGCATGTAGTGGTAGGCCCATACGACTGCCGGGATGGCCGGTCCCTGCTCAAGCCGGGGGGGACGCGTCGAACCCCAATCGCCCACTCGTCGCCGATCGGGGCCCGATGGCCCAATCCGCCCAGGAACCGATCTGTCCGACGCATCGCACGCCCATCCGCGACGCACTGCCGACTCTGGGTCGACGGCTGTTTATCGGGCTTTTAGTGTACGTAGTTATACGCGGAGCTCGCTCTCAGAAAAGGAAAAAACGATTCTGGGTCGACGGCTCCCTCCCCCATCTCCCGAGCGGGTCCTTCGCTGCCGTGGCCGCTTCGAGATCCAGGTGTAATTGGGGTCAAGGCAGCTTGGGATCGGCCACGGCGCCGGATCCTGCAGGAGATCCTCCAGAGCCGAGGGGTGCCGCTGCACGACCCTGCCGGCTCCCGCAGGACCCCTTCGTGGCAAGAAGTCCTTCCCTCTCTCCGCTCGCTGGGCTTCGCGCCCGCTCCTCCTCTTCTCCTTCCCCCCTCCCCCCCCGGCGCCCCCCCCCCCCTCGACCCGCTCCCGCGTCTTCCCCCGCGCCCTCCGCGCGGCAGGCGCCGCCGCGGCACCGCGGGGCGCTCGCCGCAGGGGAAAGATGTTTTTTGCGTCGGCGGCGAGCGGGAGGGGGAAGCGACAGGGAGGAGGCCCTCCCGATCCGCCTGCCCCTTCGCTCGGCGGCGAACTGGGGGGGGGGAGGGAGAAGACCCTCCCAGAAGGCGGCGGGACGTCTCAGAAACCCTCGCGCCTTCTGAGGGGCTGTTGCGCTTTTTTTGTTTGGGGGGGGCTCTGCCCTCTCTTGGCCTTGACGTGAGGCCCCTCCTGCTGCCTTTCCCCCTCTGTTAGTTAAAGCTGTGCACGGCCCGCTTCGCTTCGACTGGAAGAGGTGCGCTCTCGACCCGCGGATTTAAAGTTTTTGTTGGGGGGCTCAGAAACTGTTTCAGAGGGCCGAGGGGCTTCCGCGCCTGCTGGGAAGGCCCGCCCTTTCTCACTTCCACTCCGGGCTCGCCGCCGACTCCCCCCCGCCCCCGCCCTCGCTCATCCCCCCTTCGCTACTCACCCCCGTCGCTCCTCCTCCTCCTCCTCCTCCTCCTCCTCCTCCTCGTCCTCCTCCTCCTCCTCCTCCTCCTCCTCCTCCTCCTCCTCCCCGTTCTCCTCCTCCTCCTCTTCCCCCTCCTCTTCCTCCTCCTCTTCCTCCTCCTTCTCCTCCTCCTTCTCCTCCTCCGCTTGTCTTCAGTCGAGCTTTTCGTCTTCGCCTCTTCGCCCCCCCCATCCTCCTGGCCCCACCAGCCAGGGGGGGGTCGGCTGGGGAGGGTCGCCCCTCTGAGAGCTGCCCAGGCGCGCAGGGGCGTCTTTGCCACGCCCGCCTGGCCTGGGGGCCCTGGGGAACGGCCGTGCTGAACACTGGGGCGGGCCGGCCAGGCCTAGGGAAAGGGGGGCAGCCAGGGGGGCGGGCCAGCGTGCGCGCGACTTCTCCTCCTTCCTCCACCGCGGCTCGCTGCCCAGCCTCCTCCTCCTCCTCGACGCCCCCAGGCGTTAGGGCCTTGGGCCGCAGCGAGCCCCACAGGTGTCCCTTGCTGTCCCACAGGCTGTCTCGCTCCCAGCTTCCGCCCGCCTTCCCACCATACTCAGGGGCAAAAGAAGGACGTGCGCATACTTAGATGAATCCACGTTGGTTTGGAGAGTACGCGTGGCGCGGGCGCTCGTGTCACGCGGGCGGTCTCGCGGATTGGAGAGGCCGCGTTCATGTACGTGATTGGGCGCGGTATCTCCTTTTGTGGGCCCGCTACACGCAGGTGGCACCCGAGGCTCAGCGTAGGCGCAGGCAAGAGCCGTCGTCGGATGGACATCGAAGTGGAATCGGCACTGGCGCCAGGGGCGCACGCTCGCGAGGTGCGCCATGCATGCCAGGTGCGCTGCGCGCGCCAAGTGCCCCAGGGATCTTAGCGTGCGAGTCGCACCTGATGCGGCAGATGTGCCGCGCGCGCCAAGTCGGGCACCTGCTCCAGCGGCGCCACGCCCGCCAGGTGCAAGGCGCGCGCAAAGTTGCGCCTGGTGCGCCACCGCACGTGTGCACGGCCGTGTTCGCTTGGCGGGCGCACCGCGCGCTGGGTGGTTGGTTCCGCCGACGCCGCGCATGGGCACACGACACGACAACGCCGAGCGTGATAGGCATCGCTTCGCCCCGGCTTCGCCAACCTGCGCATTTTCGTTCGCTGCGTTTCTGGGTGAGGCCACGCCGACGCCGCTTGGCGGCGCAGGGCTCGGGGAACGAGCTCCTGTGCCGAGCTGGCGTTCGAGCGGGGGGAGAAAGGAGGGGCAGGGGCGGCGGGAAGAGGGGGGTGGAACGGGGGGGAGCAGGGGCGGCGAGGAGGAGGAGGCGTGGAGGGGGCGAGGAGGACAAGGGGCGGCGAGGAGCGGGGGCCGCGAGGGGACAGGAGGAGCAGGGGCGGCGAGGAGAGAGAAGCAGCAGGGGCGGAGGGGAGGGGGGCGGGAGGTGGGGGAGGGGGGGCGAGGGGGGACCGCTGCCAGGAGGAGCAAGAGCGAGAGCAGGACCAGGAGGAGCAGGACGATCAGGAGGAGGACGAGGAGGAGGAGGAGGGGGAGGAGAAGGAGGAGAAGGAGGAGGAACAGGAGGAGGAGGAAAAGAAAGAAGAGGAAGAGGGGGAGGAAGAAAGAAAAGGAAGAGGAGGAAGAGGAGGAGGAAGAAAAGGAAGAGGAGAAGGAGGAGGAAGAAAAGGAAGAGGAGGAGGGAAGGGGTGAGACGGAGGTGAAGGACTGGAGGACGAGGTGGAAGAGGGGGGCGAAGAGGACCAGGAGGCGACGGGGGGAGCAGAGATGGGCCGGAGGGCCCGGCCCCGTGAAGGACATGAACCGGCCCTGGGAGGACCCCCGGCCTGAGCCAGGCGCCGCGCGCGCGAGCTCTGGTGGAGACCTTCTCCGCGGCCGCTCCCGCGGGCGGGACACATGCCCGTCGGTCGGTGAAAGCAGGCATTCCTGGATTCCCAGGTTCCAGTGTACTCTGGGCGCCTTCCCGCTTTTCGAGGATCGATCGGCGTTCCTGCGTCCTTCGTCTTCCGGGGGCGGGCAGAGAGCCAACGCCTGCTTTCCCATCTCGTGCCTCGACGCATCTCTTTCGTCCGACGGGTATCCTTATCCACGGCATCGCGGGCCAGGCCCCAGGCCGCGCCCCCATGGATCGGGACAGACGAAAGGGGGGGATTGGGAAAGGGGGGGGGGTACGAAATCTGCTGCATACGACTGGTTTCGGCCCCGCCGGCAGGCCCATTCCTCGATACATAGCCGCCTCTGGCGCCGTGAGGCGCCGGGGAAATCAGCTACGCGAGCTGATTCTCAAACCCCCCCTTTGCTATCCCCCCCTTTCGCCCGACCCGAGTGGATGTCGGGCCTCTCTCCGCGGGTGCCCCCCGCGCGGAAGGCGTGGCGCGCGACCGCGCACCCCACGGGCACCCGCGCTCCCAGGATCCAGACCGCAGGGGCGTGGGCACGGACGTCGAGGAGCAGCACACGACACAGCTATAATTTGTCGCAGAGATGCTCAGGAGAGGGAGAAACACACAGACACAATTGATCCTCGATTCCCCAGGAAAATCTGGGAAAATTATGGGAAGTGGGGGGGAAGACAGAACCCCAGAAAATATGGGAAAGTACGGGGAATCTTTTTATTTGTGTGTATTTATTTGTGTGTCCTGGGGCCCCTTCAGATGCGCCGATTTCTCGAATCGGCGCTGGACCCCCCTCACTGGCGCACGGAGCGCGCCAGTGGCGGCGCCCGAGGCGCCGCCAGGGGGGCCCAGCGCAGATCCAAGAGATCCGCGCGGAGCTACGACAGTGCACAGTCGAGGTTGACTAGTAGGTCGACCCTGCCAAATCAAGGATACCCGCGTGTCCTGTGCTTTGCGACCCGTGGCACTTCCACATCTTCCTACGGCAATGTGGCCTTCGGAAGGGCCTTGTGTCCTCTCGCGTGTCCTCTCCAATCTCACCGCCCAGCAAACCCCAACCCAACCCGAAGGCCCCGATTTGCCCTCTATTTCCAGTGGGGGGGGTTCTGGAAACACAGAGAAAACACGTGTGGAACCCGTACCCCCCAGCCCGAAATTCGGGTCTTCGGGTTAGGTTGGTGTGGCCTGTATGTTTAAATCGTGGCTCGCTCCTCCTCCTCCTCCTCTTCCTCCTCCTCCTCCTCCCCCTCCTCTTCCTCCTCCTCCAACTCTTCCTCTTTGCTCCTCCTCCTCCTCCTCCAACTCTTCCTCCTCCTCCTCCTCCTCCTCCTCCTCCTCCTCATCCTCCCCCTCCTCCCCCTCCTCCTCCCCCTCCCCCTCCTCCTCCCCCTCCTCCTTCTCCTCCTCCCCCTCCCCCTCCTCCGACTGCATGTTTAAACCGTGGCTCGCTCCTCGAAGGATCCAGGCCGCGAGTGCAGGTGCGGCTGCCCGCGCCCTGCGCTTCGACCCCGGCCACGAGGAGGAGGCAGAGGGGCCTCGCCATCGCCCGGGCGTGCGTATGTTTTTTTTCTCGGCGGGGACAATCGAGGATCGAAGAACAACAAAAGCACACGAACAGAAACTTCTGGCACTCCGCGCGGATTTCTCGGGTCCGCGCTGGGCCCCCCAGGGCGGCGCCGGAGGCGGCGCCCCTGGCGCGCTCCGCGCGCCAGGGAGGGGGGGGTCCAGCGCGAATCCAAGAAAACCGCGCGGAGCGCCCAAAGCTTATGTTTGTGTGCTCTGTCTCTTCCTCTGGATGAGCAGCTGAGATCATCCTGCGAAAAATGCACCCGCGAAATCCAGAAATGCACGGGGAGTGGGCGTCCGAGCGCTGGCGAGAGGTAGAGAGGGAGGGCACGAGGTTTGCACTGCAGCCACCCGCTCTCCGGAGCCGCCCCGCGGCCCCCTCGGCGGGCGACGAGGGCCCACAGCTCGGGCGTCGCGCAGTGAGTGGGGCCGTCGGGCCGCTCCTTCGATTACATTCACACGGGTGCGGGCAATAGTTATATCCACATCCAGTGCGTCTTGGAGCTTTGGGCTCTCTTCCCCAGACGCCGGAGGCGCGCTGGATATGGATAACAATCTTGCCTCAGAAGGTTAGATTTGTATCCGTATCCAGTGTGTCTCGGCCTTGCGGCACCCCTTCCCAACAAGTCCACGACGCTCTGGATATGGATAGAAGTATTGCCCGCAATGGGCTCAAGAGACTTGGGTCAATGCAAGCGGGGGTCTATCGGAGCGCCGGATCTTGCAGGGTCCTGCAGAGCCAGGGGCGCGCTGGCCCGTGCTTGGGTGCAGGATCCTGCAGGAGTTTGCAGGATCCTGCAGGGCCTGACTGGCCCAAGTCTGGATTGCCCCGGGTCAGTAGATCCCCGAACTCTCGCTGCGGAACCTGTTTGTGGCCTGGGCCCTGCGTGACCAGAAGAGCCCTTTCGCTCTCTGCCGTACGCTCCTTTTGGTAGCACGGCGACTGCAACCGGGGGCGGTCTCGACACCCCTGCTTCGGCTCCGCGTGGTGGAGGCGATCGATGGGGGGGGGCAGCGAGGGTCGCAGCAACGGGGCCCCTCGGAGCCCCTCAAGGGGACCTTTCATCAAGGGGGGAAAAGCCACCCGGACCCGAAAGCCGGCGTTTGCCAAAAGTCGGGGGCGGACAGAGCCCCCAACGGTGACACGTCGATTCGTGAATTGTCCGTTTTCGGTTCTCGAGAGGGCGCCGTGCCCGTCATTTTCCAGGCTTGCGCCCGCCATGTTTGGGCCTCAGGTCGTTTTCACTAAACCACGTTTTACTAAAGGGGGGTCAGTCCACCCCAAAAAAGGTCCTGGGCGTTTGCGAAAACCGCCCTGCCCTGTTCGATCCCTTCTTTGGGCGCGTTTGCTAAACGACTCCGCATGTCGGGGTGGTGGAGGAGGAGGAGGAGGAGATGGGCGTGGATTTTTTGGTCTCTATTTCAGGCCCCAACGGGAGCCCTCAGTGCCCGAGAGGTGCCCCCCCGTATGAAGCGACGCCCAGACAGACACAGGCAGCGGCTTGAATACGGAACGCCCACTCTTCAAGAGGGGCTCGGTCGTTCCCTAGGTCTGCATGCGTCACTTATCGTCCTCTATGCGTCATTTCCTACCTATCGCTCCTGATGCGTTATTCCTTGGAGCAAAGGGGCTTCGTTCCTTCTCTGTCGTTCCTCAGGTCAGGCCCACGACGGCATCCTGCCGCCGCGTCGCCCAGGCGGCGCCGCAAGTCGGGAACTCCCCCGCGAGGGCCTGCCGGCACGGGCGTGCTCGCCGCTCCCGGGGCTCCCACCTTCGCGGTCGGGCGGCCCCCTCGGCGGCCCCCCCCCGCTGCCGTGGCGGGGATGCCCCGCTGGCCGCTTCGGTCACGCTTTTCCAACCTACTTTGGCCCTGATCACCAGAAAGAATGTCGAGCACCGAGAGAGGACCGAAACTCGGAGGTTTTCACATGTCGGGCCCTGGGAGACACTCGTCCGACACTCTTCCGACACTGTCTCGACACTGTGTCGACACTTTTCCCGGTGCTCGAAATTATTTCCGGGATGTGGTCCTCAAGTGCGATGGGAGCAGCATGACGCTTCGGGTGGGTGCCGTCGTGTTTCCGAGATGCCCGGCCTGCCTCGGTTGGCCCAAGGGCCGCAGACACACCAACGGCGATGCAGGCAGTGGCGATGCAGGCTTCGGGCATGGCAGGTGGGGGCGGTTCGTGGCCAGCCCGATCGTGGGAGGGAAGGCTCGTGCGTGCCTTCCTGGACTGTGTTCTGCGCGAGCTCGGATCCGAACAAAGACAGATTCCCTACACCGCCGAGATCGCGCCGAAAGCTACACCGCCGTTGCCTACAACTACTGAAACCTCCAATCGAGGGCCAATCCGAGGCGTCCAGAGTGCTTTGGAGGCCACGGGCTGGACTCTGTCTGAGTAGGCTCCCTCACAGCGAAGATCAGAGCATGCAGCGCGACGCAGGGAGGGGCACCCGAATTCGCACAGTGTTTCTTCATCGGGAGATGGTTAGGTCGGGCATGCCCCCCTACATCTGGGGCGGATTTTGGGCGAAGAGTGAAACATCGATAAAAGATACCCCTCGAAATATGCGTGAGGGCTTCGCCTCATGCCGCCAGCCCCCTGTCTCGGATAATGGGAGATGCAAAAGCTAAATCATGTGGGTGCCGCCGTGAAGCAGTGTCGGGGCCTGTCTGTTTTTCGACCCTGACCCTACGGATCTGTGTGAGGGGTGCCACCGAAGTTCAGACATGTGGCACATCCTTTGTGTTTTTGGACCCTGACCCCGACGATCTGCGTGAGGGGTGCCGCCGGATTTCAGAAATGTGGCAAATCCCATGTGTTTTTGGACCCTGACCCCGCCGAACTGCGTGAGGGGTGCCAGCAAATGTCAGAAATGTTGAGAGTCCTTTAGGTTTTTGGACCCTGACACCGCCGATCTGCGTGAGGGGTGCCATCGAATTTGAGAAATGTGGCAACTCCCTTGTGTTTTTGGACCCTGACCCCGCCGATCTGCGTGAGGGGTGCCACCGAATGTTAGAAATCTGGTAAATCCTTTGTGTTTTTGGACCCTGACCCCGCCGATCTGCGTGAGGGGTTCCACCGAATATGGCAAATCCTTTGTGTCTTTGGACCCTGACCCCGCCGATCTGCGTGAGGGGTGCCACCGAATGTCAGAAAGATGGCAAATCCTTTTTGTTTTTGGACCCTGACCTCGCCGATCTGCGTGAGGGGTGCCAGCAAGTTTCAGAAATGTAGCAAATCCCATATGTTTTTGGACCCCTGACCCCGCCGATCTGCGTGAAGGGTGCCATCGAATTTCAGTAATTTGGCAAATCCCTTGTGTTTTTGGACCCTGACCCCGCCGATCTGCGTGAGCGGTGTCAATTTTTTCCCACCCCAGCAATTCAGAGCACACGCTCAGGGCGTGCTAAACCTACCCGTTTGGGCCTTCCCCCCCCTCGCGCGGTCCACCAACAAGGAACAGTAAGCAGCAAGAAGCAGAACTGTAACAGCGGAAAATGAAAGCTGCAATTGGTACAGGAAACTGCGAACTTCGGCCTACAGCGTGGTGGCCTCACAAGGGGACCGGCGGAATCAAAAACGGTAAACACATCGTCCCCATATTATGTTTAAACATATTTTCGGATATTCCCCTTGTAGAGGGACAGGCCCGACTTAAGCATATGGGGTACACGCGGTGCACGCCCCATGGTGTTGCACACCGCCGTAACCATACGCTGCACGCGCCCAGCGCACCCGACGGAGAAACGATGGGAACACGGGCGGTGCACAGGCGGAGTCTGTCGAGGGTAATTATTGTCTTGTCAAATTACGTCGTCCTGGGTCCCCTCCCCATCTCCCACCTTCTCTCGGCATCCTTCCAGGAGCGAGGACGCACACAGGCCCCACCAGAATCGTCCCTCCCCAGCACAGTTTGGAAACATGTGGGGAGTGGAGGGGAAGTCGAAGATCCAGAAAATACGGAAGCACGTGGGGAGTCCTGGGATCTGCGTCTGTCTATTTGTGTCCCTTGGCCCCTTTTAACCCTGCTGTCTCGGTGGGACACGTAATCTCCGTTCTGTAGACTGCAGACCCATGGGGGAAGCACGCTGCTGCAGTCACCTGGGAACGTGTCTGAGCCTCGCGGCGCGCACCTGCAGGCGAGAGGACCATCGCGCAGGCCCTGAGGGGCCTCGGGCAGAGCTCCTACGAGCTGCCAGAGTGGAAGAAGCTGTACATCGGCAAGTCCGTGTCCTTTGGCCAGAAATCGAACAAGCCGATCAAGGAGCGCGCTCGCCTTCCCTCAGTCTCGCCAGGGCACGGCTTTTTCCCAGCATGGTTAGGCCGGGGGGTTCTTCCCTGTGCTTTGAAGAGCTGGTGGGAGCGAGGCTCGGTCGTTGCCGGGTTCCCCAGGGTTCCTTGGCTACGTTTCCTTACAGGGGGGGTCCTCGGGGTTCTTCGTTCTTGTTTCATGTCAGTTGCGTTCGGAGTAAGGAACAGTGTGGGTTCGGAAGGGGCTCGATGTTCTTTACGTCGTCCTATGGCTGTTCCTCTAGCCCTCCTCGTGCACGGTGGCTCCTCTGGGGCCAACCGTTGGCCTCGTTCCTTGTGTCTCGTTCCTTCCTCCAGCAGCCCGACTGCAGGCTCTTTGGTGTCGTGGTCTCGGTTCTCTGCTGCCGTCCTCGGGCCCCTTCGTCTTGGCCCCTTGCCTCCTTGGTTCCTCGGCTCCCTCGGCTCCCTGGTCTCGGCCCTCGGATCCTGGCTCCCTCTATGCGCCTCGCCACGCAGTGCCACGCACCATGCTGCGCAGTGCCGAGCAGCCCCGCGCGGTGCCAAGCACTACAGATGCCGAGCCATATGCCCAGCAACGCGCCCTATGCAGCAGAAGGTTGTCCTGCAGTCGGGGTCGCGCTGAGGTCGTCGTCGTCGTCGTCGTCGTCGTCGTCGTCGTCGTCGTCGTCGTCGTCGTCGTCGTCTCTGTCTCTCTCTCTCTCTCTCTATATATATATTTCTCTCTCTCTCTCTTTTGCGGCACTGCGAGCGCGCCAGCGAGCACCGTCGCTCTCCCGCCTTTTGGCGCTCCTTCCGCCTCCTCCGCTTGGAGGGGCCGAAGGCGCTGGGGGTGCCTGCTGTGGCAGGCTCCCGAGCTCCGGGTGGCTCGGTCGCGGGCCGCTTGCGCTCCTCTTTCCCCCCTCCCCCTCCCCCCCCTCTGTCCGGATCAGCGGGCGCCTTGTATCACTATGTTGAATTTCGTGTCTCTGTACTTTGGCAGGCTGCTTGACGTAACTTTTATTGCACGCATTGGGCGCGTCGCTCTGCCTGTCCTTGCCCACGCCCTTTTGGCGTATGGCTGCTTCGTTCGTTCCTCCCCCCCCTCTCGCACTCTCCACTTCCGCATGCACCCCTCCGGCCTCCAGCGCCCAGAACTCAGCACTTCGGCCTCGGCCAGCGAGGACAGCGCGCACTAGGGGGCCCGGGCCACCCCGCGCAGGCCCTATAGAGGGCCCCGCCCAGGGCGGAAACCGCGCGCTCGCCTCGCCTCGCCTCGCCTCGCCTCGCCTCGCCTCGCCTCGCCTCGCCCCCCGCGCGCCGTGCTCTGCAGAGCGCTCCACAAACGTTGCGCCGCGAGGCCGCCGACGTCGACGGAGATGCCGGGGAGGTGGGGGGGGCGGGGCGCCGAGGCGCGCGAGGCGCCTTAGGCGCCGAGGCGCGCGAGGCGCGCCGTGCCTGGCCTGGCGCCGTGGTCTGCTCGTCCGCTCGCTCGTGCCCCTGGGGTCGCTCCTTCTCCTCCTCCTCCTCCTCCTCCTCCTCCTCCTCCTGTTTCCCCTCCTGCTCCTCCTCCTCCTCCTCCTCCTCCTTCTCCTCCTCCTTCTCCTCCTCCGCTTCTCCTCCTCCTCCTCCTCCTCCTCCTCCTCCTCCTCCTCCTCCTCCTCCTCCTCCTCCTCCTCCTCCTCCTCCTCCTCCCCCCCCTCCTCCTCCTCCTGCTCCTCCTCCCGCTCCTTCTTCTACTCCTCCTCCTCCTCCTCCTATTCCTCCTCCTCCTCCTCCTCCCCTCCTCCTCCTCTCCCCCTCCTCCTCCTCCTCCTCCTCCTCCTCCTCCTCCTCCTCCTCCTCTTCTTCCTCCTTTTCCTAGGCTTTGTCAAGCGCTGGGGCAATCACTTGGCCGACCGTGCTGCTCGAGAGGGCGCTTCCCTTCACCCTGCCAACGAGGCGGCGACGGCGCGCGTGAAGCGCACATTCCGCCTCGTGATCATCGTGGCCAAGCTCCTTGCTCGGGTCATGCGGACAGCGGGCCCGAGCCAGCAGGATGCGCCGCGGCACGGTCTCCTTCGGCGTGTGGAGCAGCGGGGGCGCATCCCCGAGCTGACGGACACGGCGCCGCCCGGCGGCTCCCACGAGCCTGTGCCGTGTGGCAAGGGTTTCCGATGCGCTCGCTGCTACCGCGTCGCGAGGGCGCGCGACGCTTTCTCCCCCGCGGTGTGTGGGTGTGTGTGTGTGTGCCCCAGGAGGGGGCCACCGTGTGTGGAGTGGCCTCTTCCTTTTCTGCGCGAGGTGCGGGGCGCACTCGAGCGCTAACGCCCAGCTCCTCGCGCAGCCTTGCGTTGGGGCCGTCCCCCCACAGACGCGCCCCCGATTGGGGTGCCTGTTGGCTGGGCAGCACACGCGTACTGGAATGCTGCTGATGTCCTCGGCCAGCGACCCGGTTCGGCCACAGCCGTTCGCGAACTTCGTCTTCGACGCCCTGGTCGGAGACCTAGTCTTCGTGGACGATGGCTCCGACGGCGAGCAGGTCCTGAGCCGCGCTTGCTGGTACTCCCGTCGGGAGGTGCTCGGGCATCCATTTCCTTTTCGGGCTCGCGCCCAAGTCGCATAGCCGTGCCTGTTGAAATCTCCTCCTCCTTCTCCTTCTCCTCCTCCCCCTCCCCCTCCCCCTCCCCCTCCCCCTCCTCCTTGTGGCCCCGTCCCTGCCCACATGCATTACACCCAAGTCTAGCCGTACGATCGACCTCTTTGCTGTCAACACTGTTGCCAAGAGGTTGCTCGAGTCCGTCCACGTGGACACCTCGTGGCCGAAGCGACCTCACCGACCCATCTCACTGGGCTTTTCCACGGAAGGCCTAAGGCAGCAGTACATGGTATACACGGTGGTGAAGAAGCATGGGGCCGAACGGATCATTGGTCCTGCACGAGAAGGCTCTGACTGGCAGTACCCCTCCGTGATGGCTGAGGCGGCCGTCGATGCTAGTCGCCAGAAGCCTTTCCGTGAAGCATGGTGCATTTTGTCGCGAGCGTGGGCTACTTTCGCCCATGCCGCCGAGAAGGAGGTCAGTGCAGTCACTGGCCAGAGTATGTCCAGCAGCGCCTCGTGGGGAGCGCCGCCCAAAGCCAGATGGGTTGATTACAATCACCGCCCCGAGACAGTTGCTGATGCCAAGGCGATCTCTCGCGGCTGGACATGGTTATCGCAGTCCTTGGACAACTTGTGCAAGCTCATGAGGCTTAAGCACACTACGGTACCTTGTCTGGAAGCCGAGGTGGATGTGTTTTCGACGGCTGAATATTTCGGGCAGGGTCTATGCGCACGTCTGGATGCCAGTGCACTTGAGGCGCGAGTTGCTGTAGGTCATGCCTTACTTCGTGCAGCTGGAGTCCAAGGCCCGCTACCAGCACCGTCGACAGCACATTTACGCTCTGAAGTGGCCCCTGCGGCCGCTGTCGTGGATGGCCCTTCAGGTCAGGAAGGCCCGCAAGTTGATGGCCTGTTTCCAGATCAGTTCGACGAGCCTGACATCGACCAGGACGAGTTATTTGGCATCAATGCGCAGTTCGGCGACCAGACTGGAGCCGTCTCTCAGGACGACGATTTCGAGACCTGCGTCGCTCCTCGGCTCCACCGTGATAGCCACCAAGCTGCTGAAATTCTTGAGCAGTACCGTCGAGACATCGCTGCTGATGCACGGAAGGCCGAGCTGGATGAAGTAAAAGATGATCGCCAACGGTGGCAGGACTGGTGCGACGCGGCGTCGTCCAATGGTGCGCGAGGACTTCACCGCGCTACCCGAGTACCCAATGCGCCCCACCCTGCGGTAGTTCGCACTGCTGGAGGGCTTACGGCTTATCCCCATGATATCGTCGAGGCTGAGGTTCGCAAGTATGAGAAGCTGTGTCATGCTAGCCAGTTTCCGAGCCAAGCCTGGACGCCTGACAGGTCGGCAATGGACAGGGCCAGCGCGGACACCATCCGTGATGTGGCCAACAGTTTCCCGCGCGCCACAACAGCCAGTATTTATCGAGTGCATCCTCGTCACTTTGGGCTACTTCCTCGCGCTGCGCTCGACGCCATGGCAGCGCTGTTCGAGGCGTGCGAACGGATTGGTCTATTGCCTCGCCAGTTATGCTTCATTGTCATGCCCATGTTGGCTAAACCTGACCAGGGCCACCGACTGATAATATTGTACTCGGGCATGTACCGCGTCTGGCAGAGGCTTCGTCGCCGTGACCTCGATGGCCTTCACCAGCAGCTGCGCCGCCCGTACTGGGGCGCCCTGGCAGGCCGTAGCGCACTCGATCTGTCTGAGCTGCAGGATGCGCGCAGTGAGGCTGAGGCCAGCCAGAACAATTATAGCCTGCTGATTCTGACGGACTACAGCAAGTTCTACGAGGGCATCCCGCTGGAGGTATCACGTGGTCGCCTCCTGGCCTGCGGCATGCCCATGCCGATTCTCAAGTTAATGTTCAACACGTGGCAGTCACCGCGCATCATTCGCCTGGGCCTGCACCACAGCTGCATAGTCTTGTTCGCCACGTTTGGGCTACCAGCAGGCCGTGCATTCGCTGATGTTGCGGTTCGAGCCTTCACGATCACAGAGTATGACCAGTTCGTGCGCCGCAACCCGTCGATCGATTTCATGAGCTACATCGACGACACTGGGGTCCACGTGAGCGGCCGTGACCGAGACATCGTCGCAGGCGTCGCGGTCCAAGCGGGTGTGCAGTTCCAAGCCGTTTCGCGACGACCCCAGGCCATTCTCAACGATAAGGTCGCCGTCGTGGCCAGTGATAGTGCCCTTGGCCTGGAGGTGACCACGAAGTTCGGCCTTGCCAAAGATAAGTCCAAGCCGGCGGTCGCCTACCTCGGCACGGACTTCGCCTGTGGACGGCGACGGGGGCAAGCCCGCACTGCTGGCAAGAGGAAGACGCGTTTGCGGAAGTCCTCCCAGCGCCTGGCCAAGGCGGCCAAGCTCAAGTCCATGAGGAAAGCTGATGAGAGGCTTGGAAGAGTCT